ATGATCAACTCACCCGAAATGGATATTGATGAACAAATTTGGGAAGGAGAAACTATGCTTTTGAACGCTGTTCAGTCAAACGAAATAGATATGGTAAAATATCTTCTGGAAAAAAGAGTTAACATTCATCATGTAGACCGAAAAGGAAATACAGCTCTTCATTTTGCCTACGGTGGAAAGTCTGAAATTATTACGTTATTTCTGGCAGCTGGAGCTAAAGTTGATGTCAAAAACTCAGAAAATCAAACTCCTCTTCATGTTGCAGCTAATAAATCAGACACAGAAATGATAAATATTCTCGTAGAAGCAAAAGCAGATATAAACTGCTTAGATAATCGTGGCCAAACACCGCTTGCAATTTGTGTTGAAAACTCAGATTTAAACACGGCAACATGTTTACTACGACATGGGGCAGAGGTTAATAAAGGTAATAACCATGGGGTTACTCCCCTTATTCGGGCCGTTACAAAACAAGACGAGAAGCTCGTAGATATCCTAATTGTTCACAAAGCAGACGTGAACTTTACAGATCACAAACAAACCACAGCGTTAATTTATGCTTTAATGAACGTTAACAAACATATTGTGTCAAAACTGATTCAGGCTGGTGCTGATGTTAACAAGAAGACAACATGGCGTTATCGAGATGCAAATCGTATTAAATATGACCTTTTGGAAGAGGTGAAAAACACTTTGCTGGATACGTCTGAGCATAACCTCACACCTTTACACATAGCAGCACAAACGTTTCCTCAACACCCAGCACATAAATCAGTTGAGGTAGTCAATGTACTGTTGAAAGGAGGGGCAAATGTTCATGCAGTTGATGAGGATGATAGAACTCCTCTACACATCTCAGCAATATATGGTGATTTGGACATCGTAAATTCTTTAATCAAGGCTGGATCGAATATAAACGTCACAGATAAATTTGGAAACACTGCACTTTTAATGTCCTTACTTTACAATAATAAAGAGGTTTCAAAATATTGTATTGAATCTGGGGCGGATGTAAACTTAATATGTGAATCTCAATGCTCGCCTTTATATGTAGCCGTGCTTTACAACAATACAGAGCTTGTTCAAATGTTGATCCAAAAAGGTGCACTTTTAGATAAAGGCAGAAAATCTGAGTTTCTGATGGCTCTCAAACATATATATATAAATCTGTCAATACTTTTACTGGAAAATGGCGTTAATGCCAACGTTAAAGATGATACTCAAACACCTGCGTTGATAATAGGTTTACAACTTTCGAAATTTAACAAAACGTCAAAATCAAGTCTTGGAGACATCGAGAGAAGTGAGCAGTTGTTTACACGCAAACGTAAACGTTTATACTGCCTAGATCCTAATGAAACAACAGTGCCCACAACAGTGCCCACAAAAGTGTTTGTTTCCAATAAACAAAGTATAAAAACAAAAGCTCTAATTGAGTCCATGCTCCAGCACGGTGCCAACGTTTCTTTAGCAGACATTGAAGGCAACACTTGTCTGCATGAAGCTGCTCGATATTGCAGCAAAGAGATATTGGAGTTACTGTTGCATTACAAGGCGGAAGTAAATCAACAGAATGTAAATGGTGAAACCCCACTAATGATAGCTTGTGTGAGCGGCAATGTTGAGGCTGCCGAGATTTTACTTAAGGCAGGAGCCAACGTGTTTCTGGTTGACAAAAATAAAAACACAGCATTACACCATTGTGCACAGAATAGAACTGAATTGCTTCCCTTAGTCGAAAAGCTCGTCTTACATAGTAACCAAAATAATGATGAGTTCAGGCAAGAAAATACCTTGGTAAGTAATGCTAACCAAACTGTTAGGGCACAGGAAAGCGATTTGTTTGTCAACATGACGAATGATAACAAAGAAAGCGCTATTCACATAGCTTGCAAATTAGGGCTTCTCAACATTGTGAACTTTTTGATAGGTCAAAAATGCAATCTAGATTGTATTACTTGCGCAGGGCAAACACCTCTAATGATTGCATTAAAACATCAGTTTATAGATGTTGTGAAATCTCTGATTGAAAACAACGCCAACGTAAATATACGAGACAATGATGGTGAAACTGTATTACATGCTGCAGTAAAGAGAGATGAGAATTACCTGCAAGACAGAACAAGGCAAACTGCTTTGCACTGCGAATCCAAATCTTCTAATTATTCAATTATTTCTGCATTATTAGAATTAGGAGCAAATCCAGATATCTCTACGAATGAAGGCATTACGGCCTTAATGATCGCTGCCAATAAGGGAAACATACCTGTCGTAAAACTTTTAGTACATAACGGAGCTAATGTTAATATGCAAGATTGTGAGGGGAGGAACGCTTGCATGTACGCTGTAATGGTTGTTAAAAACACAACAGATTCATATCTTGGAACATACAGAGATTTTCATTATAATCATCGTGACTTATTTAGAAGTCATTTAAATGTATTTAGAAAGACAGCTGATATCTTTGAAATTATCAATGTACTCGTTACTGCTGGTGCAGATTTAAACATTTTGGATAATGAAAATCGATCTATAATTGTGTATACTTTACTAAACGTTGAACGAAACTCCCAGAAAGAATGCATTCAAAGGTTTTTGAGACTTGGTGTTAATCTAATCCTGCATGAAAATCACCGTTATTTATTAAATAAATTTATGTTGACATATAGCACGAGGGATTTCGGAGAAATATGTAATACTGTACTAAAAGAGGATTTTAAAATTTGTTTCCAATTTCTCCTGATCAATGGAATTACCTTGAAACATTCAAGGAACTATTACACTCAATGTCCTGAGTCAAATTTTAGATGGGTTTTTCGGAACAAAAACTTTGATTTCCTTCGGTTCTTTTTAGCCACGGGCTTTATCTTTACATCTGACTTAAAGAGTTTGCGTTATGACAAATACTTTAAAGACGATGTTGATGAATACTTAGAGTACAATGACTCACTACATGCTGAGTTAACTTTGGCCAAAATAGAACCCTGGCCACTGGTCAAACTAGCTTTTATTGAAGTCTCCACCTTACTTGGGACTGGACCTATGAGAGAAGAAAAACTAAAACAGACCAAACTCCCACCAAGATTACAGCGAACGTTGATGTTTCAAGAACCAATATCAAGATTACCTGTAAAAGACTGGTCTAGAATACCTCTTTGTTTTGACCCAGTACAGTACGAGACTTTACCCTGTCCTAGACCTTTACTCTACTACTGGCCAGTTGGTCATAGGCTGGTTAACTGAATGAATTTTCTTCAACGTTTAAATTAGTAGTGCAGTTATTATTTAAAATATAACTATTTAAATGGAATGTTTATGAATTTAAGAATGAGACATTTAGGTATAGCTGACATTCTTTGCAGATTAGTAGGCTCACTATAAAAAAAATGAATTATATTGTACATAAGCAAAAGTACACGTATTTTATCCTTTGTAGTAAATTAAATTATTAGGAACCTTTACACTACAATAAAAAGCTCACAAACAAGATCACAATTAAAAATAATGATTTGTAAATTGCCCATACATTACAACAATTATTTGTATTTACATTATATCAGTTATAAGCATTATGCCAATTCAAACCACACTTTATTTAAAAAAAGTTTTACTTCTTGAGAATTATCTTATTTTATTATTATAAAAATGAATGTAGAGATGAATAGGTTGAATTTATATTGATGTTGTTTGTAAGAATTACATTGTTGTACTAAATACACGATAAAGTAACATACTAAAAATTATGAGTCTATACATAATTTATGTGTTAATTCATCTTCACATTCAATATTATCTGTTTTAAATCTACGTATATCACGCTCATGCATAAAAAAAAAACATTATCATTATGTTTAATGTGTATTTTACATCACCTAAACTTATAGAAAGAAACTAAACAAAATAGCTACAAAAAACTGTCGGCTTACAGCTGTCAACTTTCTACAGTGGAAATAATGATTCTATCTTTATAACGCAGCATATAACTGTAGGCGTATGTATAAAACAAATACTAGGAAAAAAAGTAACATATATTTTAGAAATATGTGTTTCTCTTTTTAAAACAGCTTTTTAACCATTAGTCAACGTACTTAAAATTTGGAGTATATGATTATGAAAGAAATCACAGCCGTGACTACTACAATAGCATTCTAATGTAAAATGAACTTTCTTTAATTTTTTAACTTTTCATTATTTTTTTCACATTGGAGTGATGAAGTTAAAAATTCTAAAGCGTTGTCTTATTCTTGTCAGATTTTAAAAGTTCGTTAAAAAAAATTAAATGTCATTTTAATGCATTTTTTTTAGTTCCGACCGTAGATAAAAAGTTAAAACAGCTTTTTACCTATTTTAGAAAAACTTGGTTTGATTTTAGAGAACTGTACATTTAATATTTTAATATTCATCTTCTTTTGTCAAATCACTTTTTAAAATGATTTGCACCATGCATAAGCCTTTGTTTATGTGCTGTTTTATAGTTTCACTATAGGAAATTTTTTTGGATGTTTGTATTCCCTTCCGACAAGGTAGTCATTTTTGTACACATTTGTTTTGATAAAAAAAATTACGTAAAAATGAATTTTAATATTGTTTTGCACTTTTTTTTCCGACACCTCTTAATCAAAATGTAAGCACAATGTTTAATTTTGTATTGCTTTATATTTTCAACATTCTAATTTTGTGATCTCAATTTGATGAAAATAATTAAAAATTTAAAATAATAACTTAATTTTTTTATATCGCTAATGATTTGTTTATTCTTTAAACAGAATGCCTAACTTTAATACCTTGTAAATAGATTTTTAGAATAGCATGTTACTGACATTACTGACATTTTACTTTACTGTAACACGTACATTTTGTACACATGTCATAATTTGCATAATACTTGGTTGATGAAGATGAAATTTGGCATGCAATGGCACGACACATACTACATCATTTTCAATCCATGGAATAATTCTTTGGACAAAAATCCTGGGATAGTGTCGGAAAGGGGTATAATAACGATATTAATCAAATACCCAATTGACAAATTTTAATGGAATCCAGTATGTAGAATAAACTTGCGACTATTTTTTTAGAATGTACTAGGAATTATATTAACCACCGTTTTAGGGTCAATCCATTTTTGAAATTGATCCAATAGAATGGGAATTTGATTAATATCGAGCAGACAGCCTAGCGTTTGGACCAGTTATGTTTCTCTAGAAAAAAGGCATAAATCCAGGGATTAAAATGAATCCTTTTCTATTTAAAACAACGGTGATCGACAAAATCTTAAAAGTAACATTTTACACTGACCTTTTCACAAGCAAGATTGAGCTTTTTAGGATGTTCCTTTGCAATGGATTTTTTATTTCATTCCATCGGTTTTCTCCTCCCCGCCTTGCATTGAATGTCAATAACATGGACATAGTAGAATACTGTTTAGCAAACTGCTACTTAAACCTTAAAGACCTAAAACTACTCAAAGAAAAAAAGAGTTATCTCCCTCCCATTATCAAACCTGTGCTCAGTGAACCGTGGCCACTGGTCAAGCTGGTTTCATTACCGTGTCGTCTGACATGGGTTACGGGGCTGAGAGACCCGCAAAGGTCAAAAGGTCAGAACTGCCCACAGACCTGCAGGATGCCTTGCTGTTTAACACACCTGTGGCCAGACTTCTCACACACATGTGGCCAAAGATTCTGGTCAGCATTAACCCTATTACCAATAAAAATCTGTAAGCACCTGAAACTTTTGTAAGCTTCTGGCTATTGTGTTATTTTCTGGGCCATAACCTATTTGTATTATTGAATGCATTTTTTGTCAACGAGTTTCGTTTCTTAAATTGTTTTTTAAATTTACGAAGAATTTTTAACCTGGTATTGATTCTTTAACGATATTTGGTTTTAAGTATATTTGTGCCACGTTATGTGGTATTTAATAAATAAAATCGAGGGTATCGGGTTAGGTGTTTTGAGTTGATTGGATATAGTGCTAACAACATTATTACCTTGCATGCCGAGGTAATTGAAACAGATGAACTCTACTTCATCTGCCCCATGTGTCTTGGGCTGGAACGGGAAAAAATGATGATGAGATGGTTTAAAGTGATTTTAATTAATTTGAACACATCTTAACGCACTTTTACGGTAGATTTATTAATAGATGGGTAAATTTGAGCAAAGATGGTCGGCTAATAGAGCACAAAAAATATATCCAATAGATACTAAAGTGACCCAAGCTTTTCTTTATAGTTATTTAAATAGTAGTGTATAACTTATTTTCTACATTTTATTAGATTATTACATAAAAGCTTGTTATAAGTACGTTTTTTATGATTTTTAAAAATTTGCTTTCTATGTCTGTCTGTCGACTGTATGTCGTCAGTCTGTCTGTCGTCAGTCTGTCAGTCTAGATCGAATTGCCCGAGCGAAATTTCGGACATTTCTAACAGACAGATTCGTTTTTAAAGTTGGGACGTGGATCAAGACATGAAGACAATGCAATTAAACGTGACTTATTTGGATGCCAAATTAATTTTTTATGAATTATTTAAAATGTTGTCCAAATAAAACAACTAAATAGCGGCGTATGATACGCCGCGGGTCGGCTCGTTATGTAATAATGCACTAAAAAGTAGAAAATTATAGACTACTAAAGCGTGGGTCTCTTCCTAAATATTAGTAAAGGTATCTAATAGTGACCCACAGTTTTCATTATAGTTTTTTTTTAAATAGCAGTGTATTATTTATTTTCTACTTTTTTGTACATTATTACATAAAAGCTTGTTATTAAAACTTTTTTTATGGTTTTTGGTCATATTTTGCTTTCCCTCTCTCGTATATAGGGGGCCTAATAAGAAAAATTTCACTCGTAATAAAAACCCAACAAACAAAAAAAACTAGTGTAATATTTTTATTTAACATGGATGAGATTACTACAAAATACGTTATCAAATGTATATTTGTATCAATGTTTCAATTTCAAAACTGAAACAAAATAGCCCATGCAAGTAAATTACAGTTGTTGCAAAAAAAGTGTATTTAAAAATATAAAGGCTACAAGTTTAACAAGCTCATACAAGTTGAGAAATATTTAAACACGATTTTCTATAAATTAAAAAACACACTGTCATGCATAAAATAAATTATACAAGTTTAAATAAAGAACGTAAAAAGATCAGAAATTTTACATAATCCCATTGCTTACTATGGATTTGCATGTCAACAGAAATTAGCATTGAGGAAAATGCATAGCTAAAACTAAACAAAATCTACTGATTTTTCTTTGTCTCGGCATTTAATTTTAATATTTTTAAAAAAGTTGAAATATTAAAAAAAAAACATTCGAAAATAGGGTTTGGTTACCAAACATTTGTTTTCACATTTTGTTTATGTTACACATTGTTAACAATATTCCTCAGAATTCATGTTTATAACTCATTACTACAATGGTATAGACAGGTAGTTATTACAAACATAAAGGTTTATGTGTTCACTTTCTCAAATCCACATAACAGTCTATGTTTGAGGGAGAGTAGCAGCCTTAAGATTCGTTTCATTTTTACTTTCTCTAATACGAAGTATAAAGAAAGTCTTGTAATCGTGCAAAACAAATTCGCGATTCTCGACGTTTTACACCTCCTGATTCGGATAAACATAGCTTTGCAATCTTTTCGGTATGTCTATGTGTTTGTGTGTGTGTGTGTGTGTGTGTGTGTGTGTGTGTGTGTGTAAACACGATAACTTGAGTACCGTTACAGCTAGGTTGATGAAATTTCAAATATAAGTATTATTTTAAAATTGTAGTTCTGTATCAGCTTTTCAGCGATTTCCGATCATCGGAAGTGAAATTTATTCTACTTTCAATTTTTTTAAAAGCCTATAACTTGAGTGCTATTTCAGATAGATAAAATCAATTTTACATGTAATTAAAATATCTAATTCTCTGCCATCTTATAAATTTTCAATAATTTCCCTTAACTGGAAGTAGTAATTTACGCTATTTCCGATTTCTCAAAAAAAAAACGCATGTGAATTTATAAAGTACTAATAATATTCCGCACTATAATATACATTATGTTTGACGTTCACTTAGTGCGCAAATCATTTTTCTACGAGATTCTATTTTCTACGCGATTCTTTTCTATTTTTAAAAGTTTAAGTAATTAAAAATGGATACAAAATATTGTCTATATCCGGAGTTGCCATCCCCTGTAGTGTTATATACGAATATTCGAGAAAGTTTAGGGGAGATCACTCCCTGTTTATTTTAAATTATTTTAGCTTTTGCTTGAAATTTCTTATGGTGACATTCTTTGATACTTCTTTGATATTTCATGTTACAGTTAATAAACAATTGTATTTGTTAACATTTTTATAGAAATACAGCTTCAAAACACAGTTTGTTAACAAAAATGCTATGATAAAAAATGTATCTTTTAAATTTAATTTAAGTCTGACATGCACTTTAAAGTCTTAAAAATAAACTACCTTAAGGTGATATTAAAAATTTTCAATTTTTAATTACTATTGAACAATATTAAAAATTTACAAAGCTACGATTTAAAAATGAAGCCATGTTGAAACAATTACTTCAGTACATAATGTAACATATATGCTATGTTAAAAAACTTATTAAGCGTTTATCAATTTTTACATTGTATATACACAATTACCTGTTATAAATGGATCGTCCTTGAGTAAACTCTCAGCTGATGGCCTATCTGATGCCTTAATCATAAAAGTTTTGTCTAAAAATTCTATCAGATATTTCGACGCAGTTACAGGTAGCTCATATTTCGGTTTCGTCAACATCGCTTTTTGAAACAAAACTGCTTGAGAAGAAGTGGTAGAGTTGGGCGGTGATCCAGTTGCCATCTCTACAACTGTACACCCAACACTCCTAGAGAAAGGGAATTTTTAATCTTTTTAAAAAGAGAAAATGAAAAAAAAAATACCGACAGTTAACGTATACATACCTATTTTAACTATCTTAGTTAAGTAAAATTTTTACATAAGAATGTGGTTTTAGGAAAATCAAGTTATTACCTTAGATATTTTTTATTAAATTAAGTTAAAATACTTATTTTATGTTTTATGAACAAGCATGATTGTATTTATTATTGTTACGACTCCCTTCTCTAATCCTTTCGAACTAGTCAGGGAATCGTAAACAAGAAGAAAAATAAAAATAAAAATAAACGCCACATCAGTAATCTCTATTTATTTCCACAAATCACAACACTTAAAGTTAACCCGCCACCGAAGTACAACCATCAGAAATATACACAAATAGCTACAAACAACTAAAGTTCTTAGCACGACTACCCTACTTATCTCTAACTGTCTAACTATCCTAGGTCTACTACAGTACAGGCATCTCTTGGCTGCCCACTAGCTCACAGAGACGCCCCATGTCTGTCTCCTCTAGACCTAGCTATCCGAGTCCGTCCGTGTGTGACTCGTGAGCTCTGACTGTGTGTCGCTGAGTGTCCCTCCTCCTTAAATAACGGACTCACAAATGTCCAGGTGCGGGGCTAATTATGCACCAACACGTCCCACTCAAGCCTAACCTAATTAAATGTCGCCAACAGGTCTGGGGTACCTGATTAAATTGTCAGACCCTGCTAATATACGTCCCCAGTCTGCCGTCTACCCCTCCTAAAATAGTCCAGTCGAGGTGCAGGGGTCTATGTCCTGACTTAATCTCTCGTACGGCTTTTCCCTACATTTACATACCAGGCCAGGCGATTCAGGTGAGAAGGGGGGGGATGTAACCCGCTAGCATCAACAATAACATCCCACCCTTTGTCTCTTTCACGACCTGCGCCAGTCCGTGGCATCTCTCATTACGGCCTGGCCCGACCACAAAAAAGGGGGTTCACGTCGAGAGTTCCCACCATCCATAAATCTCTAGGTGACACCCTAATTAACCCACGTTCAGCCATGTCCAAAAAAGGTAAGATCCCCCTCATGGGATCGTAACATTATTAAATATATATTTAAGTTGTCCCGTAATTTAAGAGATAAACAGACAGCTAATAAACTCATAACACATAAACCACAATTCATTGCTCTTACCATATATCAAGACTTTTTGCGTGCTCAAATATTTTACCATCGGGACAGTCAACCATCTCTGGGGCCATGTATCTAGTTGTGCCCCGTTCTGCTTGTACACCTTCTTCTTCAGTGAAGATTGTTGATAGGCCAAAGTCAGTTAGTTTAATGTTTGACTCATCAGCCATCAAAATATTGTTGCCTATTTCGATTAAAACGTGAAAACAGTATATCAAATTTTACGTTTTAAGTTTTTGGTAATAATTTTATATTATCGAAAAAAGTAATTTTACACACTCAATAAAACGAAAGTGGATCGAGTGTACTTCAGCGTAAATCAAAAAGTTGTCAACTTCAATCCTCAGGCAAAAAGATAAAAGAGAAGTGGAGAAATGGCTTAAAACTTGGTTTACCAATGGTTGGAGATTTAGGAACTAGTCGCTCAAACGTTGCTTCTTACAAGCAACCTAATTAGACGATAGTCTAACTAGTAAATAAAAACATAAAGAAAGTTTTGTTTTGCGTTTAATTTAAATTTCACTTAATGTACCTTTGATGTCCAAATGTAAAATGTTATTTTCATGCAGGTATTTCACACCTTCCAGGATTTGAATTGTAAAATGTCTTGTCAACTCTACATTTAGTCTTATGTTTCGTTTTATAAAATCAGCGAGTGTTCCCTAATAACACATCAGAAATAGCATGAATACTTTTAAAATATAATTTCTTTTAAAACAAAGTTAATTAAAGCTGGTAATATAAATCTTTAAAATAAATACTAAGAAATAAACATAAACATTTTTTGTCATTACTGTTTCAACTAAAAATTGATAAATATGATTGTGTGATATCAAGCAACAATATATTTTTGAATATATTGATATACATTTAGTACTTTCTAGGATCCGTTGAAACATATTTCAACATAATGTCCCTATTTTATTTTGCATACTACAGATGGAAATTTTACAATACATTACATTTTATATCTTGTAAACTATTCAAAACAAATAGATGTGATCAAACATAATATTAATTTCAATAGCAACTACCATGTCAAAACATATATAATAAGAATGTTTTAATACTTAACCAGTTTAATAAACTCCAAAAATAAGTCTATTTCGGTTTCGTTCTTTTGAAATCCGTGAAACTGAACAATTCGTTCATGCCTCAGTTTAATTAGAATTGAAGCCTCATTCTGAAAATTATCATTGAAATGTACAATGTAAACCGTGATAAAGTAATATATATATATATATATATATATATATATATATATATATATATATATATATATATATATATAGTTTTATGACAGTATCGTCTCAGCTTTTAAAATTACAGCAATGTATGATAGTAATAAAGCACAAAAAACAATCTTCATTACTTGACAGGTTAACATTGACCTATAGCCAATGTAAAACTAGACCTTGATTGTTTGATACCAATACAAAGTTTTCGATATTTTGTCTGAGATCATTTGTCCAGAGTTCATTTGTCATGGAACCATATATATTATATATATATATATATGTAATATGTATAACAGCACACTGATATATGGATAATTCTACACCTGTTTAGGATGTGTGTACACTGTAATTTTATTTTTTATGCAACAGATTTAACTCCAAACGTTGCTTTAGTTGTAGAAACTTTTGAAAATAATAAATGCCTTTTTTTAACTGGTGTTATCTCAAACTTAATTTTCTTAAATGTTATAATACTGTTGCTCGAAAAATGAATAATTGCTCTATTTTCTGTAGTCACAAGTTGTCAAATTTCATGCGTAATGTGTACCAATTATAAACCATAACTTTTATTTATTAAGGAATATTCTTTTGAAAGTTAGTTTGTGGTTTTATTTCACGATACTAACAGAATCTCTAAACATTGATATATTAATTTAACGTCGCAGTTACATAGCTACACGTAAAGCTATAATTAGTTTTCTATAATACGTCAATCAAAACATTAAATTCAAATAAAATGCGATTAAATAATTTAATAACAATTTTTATTGCACTATTCTCTAATGAAGCTGATCCAACTAAAATATTACAAATAGTTCGATTCTACCTTTTGTTTACATTTTAGTATAGCCCCCCCCCCTCCCCCCCCCCCCCCACACACACACCACCACCACCACAAAGTCGTTAAAACAATGTTTAGCTTACTTACCATCCACTTTGATAAATCCTTTTGGGATTGTGAGATTTTCTTTGCAACAAATTTCTCCTCATCTTTCCTATTCGTGTCAATTACAAGATGAACAGTGCCAAAACCTCCTTTGCCTAGTCGTGTTGCCATGATTTCAAACTGTTTTGGAAACTCGTCAGAATATAGACGGTCTGTTTCAAAAAAATGTTGTTAAAAACAAAGTTATTAAGGCAACAAACCTATATTTATCCCTACATCATCTACAAAATTTAAAAAAAATATAGTTGTGAGCTTAAAAGTATACACAGGAGGATGTTAAAGTATATAAAGTCATTTAAAGTTTGATTTGCGTTTCCTATAGTCAATTAAGCTAACCCAAGTACGATTTTTATCAACCAAAAACAAGAGACGTAAAAATACTTTCTGACCATATTGTTTTGGCAATAACCCTGTCGTTCGACCGGATCTCCATAAAGCGGAATGTATGTATTTCGTGAAAAGATCATTATCTCCATCATTGGTTATCATCGTTTTTATCTGTTCATTAAAGGCTTCATCTGTTAAAATGAGCTCCCCAGCTTCTTTATTCTTACTGAATTCTCTCAAACATTTTGTTGAAAGTATCTTTACTTTGTGGTCTTGGTGCGTGATGTTTTGCTTTAGTTTTGGAATTAGTGGCAGGATCTAGTGATTAAATTATATATATATATATATATATATATATATATATATATATATATATATATATATATATATATATATTACAACAGGATTGATAAGCATTGGTTATAAAAATATATTAAAATGGCTTTAGGCATAAAACAAAACTTCATTTACCTCTTGTAATTCTGGCTCATGCTTTGCGTATTTAGCAACCCCATCTAGTATATCTGACATTTCAAATCCAGATTCGAGTTGATCAAATACTTTTACGGCTGTTTTAATTTCGTCCTTCAAGTTTACTTTTATATTTCCTTTGAATAAATGTAAAACATGTAATAATGAATTATTATGAGACTTTTATTTTTTTGGATAGTTTTTGCTAAAATCGTAATATTCCTTTTTTTCAATAGATAAACAGTCATATTTTACAATTTTTAAATCAGGTTAGTTTTTATAATAATTTTGTTTACAAATGTTGGATTTGCTAATTTATTTTTCTCTTAGAGAGATATTTATTTTCGAAAAATAAAAATAAGAAAAATAATACGAAGCATGCACTATTAAATTAATAGTTGTAAAAATAAATTATTACTTGTTATATCGGTTTCAGCAGTGGACTTGTCCACAAGAAGAACATATAAAAGTTTTGAAACAATAGATAACACCAAATCGTCAAATTGTATCCCAGCGATCGTCTGCGGGATGTTAAAATGTTGTTATTTTGTGAGAATATAGGTAAATAGAGGCTTTAAAAAACATTTAAATTCAATTTATAATAGGTATTTTTATTTTTATTTTTTTATAACACTTAATATAAATGGTTTAGTATTTTACGTTTTTAACGTGTTTACTTCATACATAAGCTAATACTTAATGTGCAGCATTTTGTGAGCTATATAAACATAGATTATAGTTTCTTGTTCGATTTATGCACCGATATGGTATTTTGTAAGTAATTCTTCGATTCTTAAACGATATCCGATGTTTTGTGTTTTCAGCAACAGGTAATTCGATTTTTTACCGTAATTAGTGAAGGTGCTATAGAAAATAACTAAACACTGAACAGATTCTTTTTGTTTACTGTAGAAAATGAGAAGCTTGTTTATAAAATTCATTGTTAGATTTCCATCCAAGTACGAATGTGCTTTGCTAGTATTAATTAAAAATAGCTAGTTATATAACCCAAACACACTATATACAGTTAATGAAGCCTCTGCGTGTAGTGATATTACTAAAATATTAAAGATGCTTGACTTAATAAGTATTTTTAAATAATAATATAACCTACATCTTCTATGTTTACTCGAGTAAAGTATTGCCGTGCTTGTCTTTTAAAGGCCATTTGATATAGTATAATAATAAGTTCTTTTGATATCCATCTAAACGTTGTATTCTGAAAATAAATTTGTTGTTAGCTTTTAATTAGGCTTTTTTAAATGTTAAATTCATATAGGCTACTTGAGACACTTAAATGCATGTAACAGAACTCTTTGATAGTTGCATTACTAAATTTATAAAGTTTTTTTTTTTTTTAGATTAAGTTTTTATGCCATTAAACAAAATATAGTTTGTTCTATTACTTGCTTTATAAACATACACATTACCACAAAGCTTTGATTTTTAAAATATAATAGGTATCTAATAATGAAAAATAATTTCGAAAATCTAAGTATTTTATTACCTTTGAATCGGTGTGTAAAATGAGGAAGTGAGTAAGTGTAGTGATAACATCACTCTGCGCTAAACGCTAAATGAAAAATAAACATTATTTATAAGTTAATTTTAATAAATAACTATAATTTTAAAATGAATAGGCTTCATATCCAACAATTGTATTTATAAGTAATTTTACATCTTTCAAATTTATTTGGCTTTCAAAGAGATTGTTGGTATAAAAATATTTTAAACTCGGGTTTACAAGACAATACTTAACCAAGGCAAATGCGCGACTAAAATGACTTCCCGCAGCAAGTAGACTCAGCATATCTCGGATTAGAGATAGTGAAAAATCTGGTGATTCTGTTTCTAATAGTTTTCCTTCTTTTAGAAATGCAATTGTGATATCTGCAAAAAATATTTAACATTTTTACAATTCTGTGTCACAACTTCGTGACAATTACAACATGATTATCGTCGTGTATCATTAAAAATCAAATCGTCAGTTAAAATAGGTCATTGTCGCTCGTTTCTGAATACACGTACGATGACAAAAATGTTAGTACATATGAAAGAAAGCATGTTTTTTTTTAAGTTTTAATTTCAGTTAATTCCAAAGCTTATTTTTAGAAAGGCCCTTTATCAGTGTTTCTTTCAGACTTTTTTCTCCGGTTAGGGGGATGAGGGGCACGATATTTTCGGGAGGGGCGGACTAAATTCTCCGAAGTGGGGGGAGGGGGGCGGCGGACAAAGGATATATTTTTTATATAAATTAAATTTCTTCCAGAGAGGGTAGATTTTTTTGGAATAAGAGATGCCGGGAAGAAACTTTGTCTTTTATATTTGTTTTTTTAAGTGATATTCTGTAGTAAAATATCACAAGACTGACGTAAGATAGTTTTTGATACTGCTCATTTGTAAATGAATTGTATTCAAGTTGCATTTAATAACTTAGTTTTTTCATTGTTGAAGCTCTGGTCTTTATTCACCCAACAGAACGAGTCTGTCAACATTCAAACGCTGAAAAATATATATTGCCTGCATATTTATGTTCCAGTAGCGAAGAACAGACGGCTTCTTTGTCAGATTCTGGAGTTGCAGCATAAATCTTCTCGATGCATCTCTGATAGGTGAAAAACTCCAACGCATCAAATTGTTTCATGCATGAAAACTTAGCCATTACCTCTCTGACAAGTGTGTCATAGTTGAATACCTTCTGAGTAAAAATAGATATGAAAAGACTTTAGTTAGTTAGTTTCCCTTTCAAACCTGACGGTCTATGAAAAGACTTACCTATCACAAAATAACTATTTGCTACTTAATACGTGTTTTACGCACATCAGTCGGAAGCCTAAATATACATATTGTCGCCATTCAATTCAACTACCATCAGAAATAATAAGGTATAATTATAAATGATTTTATCTTTCTAGTATATTTAGGTGATTCTTGCTAAAGACTTAAATTATGTATAACACAAATAAACAATGTCTAACATTGTACAACCAAATATTTACAATTATAAAAAGGAACATTAATACTTGAATACAAACAACAAACCGATTCAATTTTTTTTTATTTTCTAAAATAAATGTAATAAGTTATTTCTATAACATGAAATGCGACGAGTTTTTGCCATTTACAATTTATTTCTACATTTGAAACATCTTGAAGACAACCTTTGTTTATTTAAAATTATTGCAATAATAGTTTTCCTATTAAACTGTTATAAGAAAAACAAAATATAAAACATGGAGACAATTTTAATTTACTTGCTAAACTTACTAAGTGGACACTAAAATGACGAGTAGTTATATAAAATTTTAAAGAGTCAATGTTGTTTATGCAGATTAGATTTAGATCTTTGCCAGAAACAATAAATTTAATGTTGGGGATTCGAAAAATTATAGCTACTTTGTGGGGTGATATCATATTTTTTTAAATAGAGTGGAATTTCTAAGTGTTTTTGTCTATCTACATGCTTTTTAACCATTAATAATCAACAAAATTAAATATTGCATATTACCATACCTCATATTTACGTATTAGCAAAGCAGTATTCACATAACAGGCAACAGCGCTGGTTGATAGAAGAAAGAATTTTTGTCAATGAAAACTTATTTTACATATATATATATATATATATATATATATATATATATATATATATATATATATATATATATATATATATATATATATATATATATAGAGAGAGAGAGAGAGAGAGAGAGAGAGAGAGAGAGAGAGAGAAATCAACTCATTATATTAATATTTCAGTGAGATGATGCATTTAATTTGTGTAAATATGAGTTATTACAAAAAGTAATTGCCTTTTCAGATTATGAAAAGTTGTATTGTGCTCTTGTCCAATCTTTGTATTAACGTCAACACTTAATTCAGAACACTCTAATGCTAAAGATAAGAAAACAGAAATATTTTTATTTTAAATTAATGTAAATAAATGCATATGTGTGTATATGCAATATATATATATATATATATATATATATATATATATATATATATATATATATATATATATATATATATATATATATATATATAATACATATCAAAATAGAGCACATATAAACTTGAATGATTATTTATAACGAGCCGACACGCGGCGTATCATACGCCGCTATTTAGTTGTTTTATTTTCTACTTTTCAGTAATACATAATTTGTGAATTCGACAGTACCAATGCTGCCACTGAAAATATTTGCTTTAAAACACTAATCCCCCCCCCTTTCCCCTAACCCCGACCCTACACCCCCCCCCCATGAAAGCAGCCTCCTCTTAGTTACCTCCTGTACATTTAAAATCGTTTCAAACTAAATTATCTGCCCCTAATAGCCGTCACTAAACCCGGCTCTACGATTTGTAAACATTTAGCGTGACCACAACTCACCAGACCATGTGGGGGTGGGGTGGGGGTGGTAGTGATAGTGATAGAGAGAAAGAGAGGGGATGCGCTTGCAGCTTGTTTTCTAACGTCTCCCAGAAGAGAATTATATATAGAGATACAACACAAAATATAAATCTATTAATTCCATTAATTTTAAAACTAAATCCTTTAAAGCACATTTTATTTTTCAAAAATAAATATATTAGCACAAGACTTATCAAATAAAATGTATTTAAAATATACTCATATACAAATGAATTTGTGTCAAGACAGCAAATTCAAATGACTGAAAACAAGAATCCCAAAATGTAATTTGTTTTAGAAAAGTAGCTTTAAAGAACTATTAAAATTACCTTATTTCAGTATTATTTACACTTACATTTTTCACAATATCTGCAAATATCCTGTATCTGGCTTGCTAAAAATGTGTCATCCAAATGACCTTGAAAATAGGCTGACAATAGTTCTAATGCTTTTCTCGCTTCAACCTCAAACGAGAGATAAATTATTTCGGCTGCATGGATACTTCTAAACACACAGCTTGCTTTTGTCGACAGATATTTCGACAAATTTTCATAATCTTTAGTGATCGTATTGATTAGCAAGTGTACTGTTTTATAATGTCCGTTTTGAGCTGCAATTGATAGAGCATTCCATCCATCTTTTGCGATATAATTGATATTTGCTCCATTTCGAAGAAGATTTTCTACTGCTGTATTTTGCCCATTTTGTGATGCGGTCATAAGTGCATCCCAGCCATGTCGGTCCGTGTGATTAATATCTGCTCCGTTTTTAATCAGCAAATCTATTATTTTATCATGTCCGTTTAGTGATGCAAATAGTAATGCATTCCATCCTGTCACTGTTAAGCAATTAACCTGAGCTCCGCTTTTAATCAGCAATTCTATTACATTATGTTTACCGTTTTTAGATGCGATCATTAGAGCGTCCATTCCGTTAGACTCTGTGTGTTCAATATCGGCTCCGTTTTTAATAAGTACTTCAATTGCTTTATAATGCCCATTTTTAGAGGCTAGCATGAGCCCATTCCATCTGTTTTCCCCAACACAGTTAATATTTGCTCCATTGTTTAGTAATAGTTCGATTACTTTATGAAATCCGTTCTCAGATGCATACAGTAGCGCACTATCTCCGTTTGCTTGTAACATATTCAAATCACCTGCATGATTTATCAATAACTCTAGGGTTTTATAGTGACCTTTCCTATACGCGGCTGTTAATGCATTAATCGTTTTGTTTTCTTTGGGATTAATATGGGCACCTTTTTTTAGTAGTAGATTCACGGTTCTACTGTGCCCTCTTTCTGATGCAATCACTAGTGCATTACATCCATCTGTTTTACAGTAATTCAGATCTGCTCCATACTGTATTAGTAACTCTATTATTTTATTGTGACCGGATTTTGACGCGAATATCAACGCGTTGTTTCCGTTTGTATCAACACGGTTGCTGTCTGATCCATGTTGTAATAACATGTGTACCGTTTTGCTGTGTCCTTGGTCAGCTGCCAGCATTAGTGCGTCTTCTCCGTATGAATCTGTGTGGCTAACATCCGCTCCATTTTTAAGCAATATTTCAACTGTCTTCTCATGTCCTCTGTGAGATGCAGTTATTAATGGATTCAATCCGCTCCTGCCAATACGATTGACATTGGCTCCGTTTTTTATTAATAATTCAACAATCTTATGGTGTCCAACGCTAGAGGCAATGAGTAACGAGTTCACATCCCTATTTTCACTTCGTTCAATATCAGCTCCGCTGTTTATTAATAGTTGCACGGACTCATCTTTTCCTGTTTGCGATGCAAACATTAATGCATCCCGTCCTTCTGTGTTACAGTGATTAACATTAGCTCCAAATTTAATTAGTATCTGAACTATTTTAGTGTGTCCGTTTGCACAAGCAAGAATTAATGGATCAAGACCAGATTCGTTGCAGCTGTTGACATTAGCTCCATTCTTCAACAACGTTTCAACTGTTCTTTCGCGTCCATTGATGCATGCAATCATAAGTGCATTCGATCCTCCTGCTTTAGCGTAGTTAACATCAGCTCCGTTTTCAAGAAGTACATCAATAATCGTATCACTACAGGAAAATTGTGATGCAATCATTAACACATTCCATTCAATTTTTTCAACTTGATGAATATTTCCTCCTCTTTTTAGTAATAGTTTTACTGATTCAAGATACCCATTTTGTACTGCAAACATTAATGCATTCCATCCGTCTAAATCACCATGATGAATATCTGCCCCATGATTTAGTAAAGTTTGCATTGTTTCAGTGTACCCATTCTGAGATGCTAAGATTAATGCATTCCATCCATCTGAGTTACATCGTTTAAAATCAGCTCCACTATCAAGCAATTGCTCAACTATTTTATTATGTCCAAATTCAGATGCAATCATCAATGCATCTCTGCCGCTTTTTTCGACACACTTAAAATCAGCCCCACTTTGAATAAGTAACGTAGCCGTTTCATAGTATCCAGATTTAGATGCAAACATTAATGCATTCCAACCGTTATCTTGAATGCGATTAATATTTTCTTTCCTTATTAGTAGTTTCTTTACTAGCCTAGTTTTGCCATTATAAGAAGCACGCATTAGTGCACTCAGATTGCTGAAATTAATTTCATTATAATAGCCCTCGTTTTTTTCCAATGCATATTCCATCTCCGTAAATAAAATTTTTAACTTTCTTGCTTAACTGGAAAAGTTTCGTTGACGTATCGTGTAATGTTATTTGCTTTAGTTTAATCAAATTCTCGTACTGCAAAATGCGGTAAAAACTTCATCTCGAAAATATGTTTTTACTTAATAAAATAAACAAATCTTTTTGACTTGTATTCATGTATAAGACAACTAATGTTTTTAGAAAAAAAAAAACATTTGTTAATCTTAGGTAACGTAGAAAATGTGATGAAAAAATAATAGGTAATTACAAAACAAACATAATATATGCCAGAGACAAATACGTCTTTTAAGCTGTAATAAGTTATTTTTTCAATCTGTTCTAAATTTGAGAAATGTTCTTAATATAGCCAGTTAGAAAATGTGTCTTCTAGGTGTGTTCTTTTCCCCTTTGTTTGCTTCCCCTCAGTAAACGACAAAAATAGGTACCTTCTGGGTAAGCTGCTAAACCTGGAAAAAAAATGTCGCTTAGGTCACATACTGCTATAAACAACAACAAACAAAACAAAAAACTCTAAAATAGTTCTGGTTATCACTTTAACAATTTTCTGAGGAAAGGTTACCATTGGTAAATTGTACAATGTCATATGCTTCCTCATAGATTTTTTTTCATTTCTTCTACGATCGCGAAATGTTAGTATATTTATTATACACTAGTAGCCGTCCCGGCCAGGCTTTGCACTGGCTTTTGTGAAATACGTATCTGTAAAGATATACGTTATCTGTTAACAACCGTTTGAAACGTTTGAACCATTTGGAACTGTTTTTAGTCTCTTATTTAGTCTCTTATTTATAGATCGTCTGTATTTACATTTTTAGTCTAAATTTATCATTCTGAATAAACGTGGTTGAGAATATAATAGGCTTTAAAAGCTGGTTCCAATTGGTTCCTAATATTGCTGCAAGAAAGCATATTTTTCAACCGAAATTTCATATTTTATAACATTTATGAAATAAATAAATAGGAGTACAAAATTAATTCCGGTATTATTAAGGCTAGAAATATTCAAACAAATAAATACCGTTCATTTTACATAAGCTAAATGCGTAATTTATTTATAACGCTTCACTAATGTTTTGACTTTAACACAGTCAAACAAGAAATTCCAACCAAACCTCGGCTATTACGCACATTCACTTGAATAATTAAAGCATATTAAACATAAACCAACCACCATTGAAATTGCCACAGCTCACATTCGAGATTTTTTAAAACTAAATTATCTAACTGAATCAGTATGATAAACCAAGTATATTTTTAAACATTTCGAAATTTACATAATATCAATCTAAACTTAGTATCAGATCCATATAAACTGATCTTAACTCTACCATAGCAATAAAAGACCAAATGTGACGTATACCGACACAAACCCAGTAAAATTAATATATAGTATCCGGCACTGAAAGTTGCACGCCATATTAAACTTAAATTAAGAATAACGAAAATGGCTGAAATGAGGTCTTAAATAGTGATAAAATAATTAATAATTAGTAAACAATGCAGCGTGAAGGGCTTTTAAATAAAAATTAAAAAGTAAAATCTAAACTATAATAATAGAAGTATTTTAAATTAAGAAAATATCTAATTTTATTATATCTTCAGCCACATTGTTACTTTCTAGTATAAACGAAGTATACAGCAAGTCTTGAAATCGTGCAAAAAAAATCGAGATTTTTCCAAATCTGGACGTTGTACAGCTCCCCGAGTCGGAAAAACAAAGTTTTGCAATAGCGTCCGTATGTCTGTGTGTGTATGTGTGTGTGTGTGTCTGTCTGTCTGTCTGGAAAACACGATAACTTGAGTTCCGTAAGAGATAGGTTGATAAAACTTTATAAACAAGTATTATATCTAAATCGTAGATCCCTATCAACTTTTGAGCTATTTCCGATAACCGGAAGTGGAATCTTTTCTACTTTGAATTTTTCAAAAGCCTATAACCTGAGTACTGTTTCAGATAGATAAATGAAATTTCACATGTAGTTAAAGATCTAATTCTCTGCCTTCTGTCAAATTCTGAGTAATTTCTATTGACCGGAAGTAGTAATTTTTGCTATTTCCGATTTCTCAAGAAACACATGTGAATTTATATAGTACTAATAATATTCCGCAGTATTATGCACGTTTTATTTGTCTATATCCCGAGTTGCCATCCCCTTTTGTTTCATATAAGAATGTTCGAGAAAGTTTAAGGGAGATCACTCCCAGTGAGTGGCGTAGCGAGGTCGGGTGTCACCCGGTGCGGCACTTAATGGTGTCACCCCCCCCCCAGAGGCGTTGCGACCCTTCCCGGGGACAAACTTTCAAGTTTTCGAGTTGCACTCCCGCCCCCCTCAAACTTTCGATTTGCACCCCACCCTCAAGTTTTTCTCTATATATTTTGCTATTTTTTGACTTGGTGTCACCCCCCTAAATGGTGTCACCCGGTGCGGTCCGCACCCCCCCCCCCCCTCGCTACGCCCCTGCTCCCAGTTTATTGGCTTTAGAATATTAAATAAATACTGAATTTGTAAATACAGAAGTCTATAAATAAGAAACTAAATAGCATCAGCGTAGAACGCTGTGCAAAATATTTAAACTATGAAGACCTTAAAATGGCAGAAATGAGGTCGCCTATGTGGTCTATAAAAATATTTCTAAAATTGAAAACATTCTGAAATTTTACTGAATTTAACCAGAAAGTGAGCGCAAACTCTTTTAGTGTTGTAATACAATAATTAATAATATGTTACTTACAGCTATTTGCGTTACATTTCATAAATTCTCTTTGAAAATCCAAAGGCGAAATAAACCTCGTGCCTTTAAAGGCACCGTATTATAGAGGCAAATGTACCAATGGTAAATGTAATAATGTAAGGTAATGTAGTATAGATCTTGTGCCTGTGACGTATTCGTTGAATGTACCGCTGTTGAAAGCAGCGGGTTTCATGTGTGAAAGCTTTATAGTGCTAACACCAAAAGGCCATTATGGCGTAGGAGAAAGCTACTGTGAATACTAGCGGTAACGAAAAATAATTAATTCCATTGAAGTACGTATTGCTTGAACCGCTGAAATGATATAGATTAACTTCCGTTCAAGGTCTTATTGAGCTTAAATAGTTACGATAAGTTACGAAATTGTTTTAAAGTAGACTAAAGTTTTTTTTAAACAAACTCTAATCTATTAATATTAGGTAAAAATCCCACGCCAAAATACCATTTCCATCCCCCCCCCCCTTCCTACACTTTCAACCCACAATTCCTATTTCAACATTTACCACAACCCAAACCACCCAACATATTATTCACCACTCTCAAACACCCTCAGTTATCGTTTATTTATTTTTATTGTTAAAAAAAAGATTATCAAAATGTAAAAATTATCAAGATTTATATTTAAGGATGACCTTAAATTAATGTAGATCCTAATGAATACTTAAGCCAATAGCTTGTAAGGAGTTAAAATGAATTTCTAGCAATATTGTTTTACAGACTCATTTTAACACAGTAGATACATTTTATTTAACAGATTTTATAAAAGCATGTAACAGAAGAAAATTAAAAATATATGTCAATTAAGAAAATGATTGTTAGCATTATGCACTTTACGTTGTTTTACCAGGCAAAAATCTGTTAACTTTAACATGCAGAATTATATCCCCTCCCCTCACCACCCATCCCCCATCCCCACTCCCTACCCCAGAAACCTTCTCGGGATGATTCATTTCCCTAAAGTTTTATGGCACTCGGATAAACGGTGTCGAACCGCAATCGACTTTTATTTTTATATACGTATATTGAGAAAAATCACACCCTCGCGTGGCGCCTCCCTTGCGAAATTAAAAAAGATTTTTTTCAGAACCCTTTCATGGAGTATTCTAATTAACCCCCCAAAGTTTAATGAACGGTGTCAACCCGCAATCGACTTTTATTTTTATATACTGTAAATAAGGAAAATACAAATCGTGCCCTCCGGGGCGCAATCCCTGCGAATTTGAAACCTCCCCAACAATATTCTCAATAACTTCCCAAAGTTTCTTGGAGATCGGATGAAAGGTGTAGTAACGCATAAAAGATAGACAGATACACACACACAGACACACATGCATTGCTTTATATATATATATATATATATATATATATATATATATATATATATATATATATACTAGTTGTATGTCATTGCTTCGCTATGATGTAAAATAAATTAAAAGTAGTACTCTGAAGACAAAAGAACACACAATCTAGGCCGACAAAACAAAACAATTTTTCACTCTAAACAAAAAAAAAATAATAATATATACACACAGTACAACCAAAAACAGTGAATGCAACACAATCTGTTTTGTAATTTTTGTAAAAAAACAATTTGGCACAATGATTCCTGGAATATTAATTAAGACCGCGAACTAGGGGAAATCATCACTCTCTAATATAGAAATGTATATTTCTACACATATAATTGTAAAAACAGATCAATAATTACTTTGGTATGTAGCTTAACACTATTAGTTTTTACAAAAATATATTGTCTTAAATGAAAATTAAATATATTGCCTTCATGAATGCTAAAATACAACAGCATAATGGGCGTGACGTCTATTAGGGGCAGATAATTTAGTTTGAAACTATTTTAAACTTAGAGGAGGTAACAAAGAGGAGGCTGCTTTCACGAGGGGGAGGTGGGGGAAGGGGGGTCTAGTGTTTTTAAGCAAATATTTTCAGTGGCAGCGTTGGTACTGACGAATTCACAAATTATAAATTACTGAAAAGTAGAAAAAAAAAACACTAAATAGCGGCGTATGATACGCAGCGGGTCGGCTCGTATATATATATATAATTCTCTTCTGGGAGCCGTTAGAAAACAAGCTGCAAGCGCGCCTTACAGTCCCCTCTCTTCCTCTCAATCGCTATCACCACCCCCCACCCCCCCCCCCCCCACCCCCTCACATGGTCTAGTGAGCTGTGGTTCACGCTGTTTACATTTTACAATCATAGAGACGGGTTTGGTGACGGCTATTAGGGGCAGATAATTTAATTTGAAACGATTTTAAACTTAGAGGAGGTAACTAAGATGAGGCTGCTTTCAAGTGGGGGTGGGGGGGGGAGGGGGGTTTAGTGTTTTTAAGCAAATATTTTCAATGGCAGCATTGGTACTGTCGAATTCACAAATTATAAATTACTGAAAAGTGGAAAAAAAAACAACTAAATAGCGGCGTATGATACGCTTGTCTTATACAAAAGCTTGTTATCAAAACGTTTTTTTTAATTAAAAATTTATTAGGCACAAAATTTAGTCAAATTTAATGTTTGATTGCATTGTCTTCATGTCTTGACCCACATGTGGCCCTTAAACTGAATCTGTTAGTTAGAAGTGCCCGAAATTTTGCTCGGGCATTTCGATCTAGACAGACAGACTGACTGACTGAATGTCGACAGACAGATGAAGCAAGTTAAATAAAAGCTTGTAATATTGTTCTTGCCGTTCAGATCATATATTTTTTAATTAGCTGCTGATTTTTGTGTTCTTTAAAGATCATTTTTAACATAATGATAAGGTACGGGTTAGATCGCAGTGTGGCTCACACACCTCTTAACTTGCAAAAATAATATTCACAGAGTTTTACATATTTAAAAAGCTATGATTTTGGCGTCATGGTATTTTGGTACCTGATTACGCGTTTTCCCAAATGTACTTAACATATCAGTTCAGGGTGGGTTAGATTTGGGGGGGGGGGGGGGGGGTGGGGGGGGAAGATTCAACTTCATTTACCACTGTCCTGTCATTTTAGGTCTATTTTCGTACTCAGCGTTTGTGTGACATTAATGTCACTCTACACAATAACGGCCTGTCCCGTTCTAGTGGTGAGGTGGGGGAAGGGTATAACCAAATCAGAGTGAACATAGCGTCAGTTTTTAGATGACTGTTCTAAAAATACATATACAATTATACATATATACTGATTTAGAAATATATTTAAATAAGTAACAGGGTATTATGACAGTAAAAAAAATTTTTACAGGCGGGTCCTAGCCCCCCCCCCCCCCCCCCCTTGCATATGCCACTGCTGCAAATTCAGTTTCTGAACTTAAAATTCTACACATTCCAACCCCAATAGGAGAACGAGGCCATTTATGAACCACGACCTCACCCCATTCACTGCTATAAGGCTACGTTTGATATAACTAATTAAAAAATCTGAATATCCCAATCCCTATAGGAGAACGATGTCATTTATGGACCACGAACCCCCCCCCCCCCCCTCCGTCCCATTCAATGCTAATAAGGCTTCGGTTTATAACTATCAGTACGTGTCAGCTTGAAAAGTAAACGCTGAAATAATTTCAAAGAGAAGTAGTTTTATACCAACTCTGATTTCAAAAACGCCCATTATGCTGTAGTATTTTAGCATTTATTTCAAAGAGAATGAAGAAACATAGGACTGACAGCAATGACAAAGACAAATAGGAATACAATTACAGGATAGTAAACAGGTTAACGTTAAACTGAAAGTTTAGATAGACACACTCGAAAATAACTAACATAATGGGACATGTGTTTTAATAGGTGTGTATAAAAAGTCTTACCTATTTCAAATATACCATACCGTGTAGCTTTAAGGCTTCTTAATGTGCTCTACAAGCTTCTACACACCATATTATTGAATAGATTCCACAACTGGCACAAAGTCATTCTATAATGTATCCAACTCTCTGACTACGTGCATCTATTTATAGGCACAGGTTTCCCGGAACCCACTTTTGTTTTCGTTTCTAAAAATAGGCTTCTGTTATTAAAATATTTAAAGCGAAACTGGAAACAGGTTAGTGGAATAAACGTGCTTATTTAAAGGATGGCGTAGCAGAATGGAATGTATGGTAGCTGTCACGGAGTCTTCAGTTTCGAAACCCAGTAGCATATAGCTAGGCTGTTCATTTTCTGTTAAGGTACGCATCTTAGTTAGGGTTAGCACTGTTTCTTTCAGGCATCTCTTCGGGAGAAGGGGGAACCCCGAAAGAAATAACATTTATTTAGAAAATATATACTTTTAACAGTGTCCGCTCCTCCACCCCGAAATGTTCAAACCTATGTGAGTAAAATTTATAAAATTTATAACATGTACTTTTATGGCACTTTATTCTACCCATTTTCCATCTTGCCAAGGACTGAGCTATATAAAGTGACCATGTTCCCAGTGTCTTATTGTTAAAAATCTATAAATCTATATTATATGTGTTTAGAATACACATTATGTGAACCTTAAATTTTCTTAACAACCTCAGATGTTCTAGATCATAAGCTTTTGCAAATACTATCAATGTAATACAGCTTATATTTAAATAATTTTTATTACTCCAACTCAACACTGCTTTTAGACATTTGAGACGTAATGACATAAAACAAATACTTGCTCTAAATACTTCCAGAAGATAACTACCATTTGAAAGCCTTGTGATGAAATACTATTTTATATTCTGATGATCAGGTATTACCAAAATGAACAAAGACAATGTTAATCTCACGACTGATAAACGAACATACAAATACCCCTTATAAGTCCATCATCTCTAGACTTCCTATATAAATCCAGACAAAAACATGCACTCTCACAATCTTACAACTAACTCACCCCAGATCAAATGACACAGAATGGAAGGCTCTTGTCTAATCAACAGCAACGCCCCCCCCCCTCCATTACATCAGCTACTCACAAAAAAGACAAAACACAACCATTAAGACACGCACCACTGCCCACGACCGGTCCACAGTGACTTTCCTTCGCCCCACCCCCCCCCCCCCCACCCCCACTTCCTCCCACTAACTCAGCCTAACCCAACATTCATGATCA